GGAAAGAGACTCTCAAATTTTACTGCGTTTCAATTTCCTGCTGCAAATCTCTTACAACCTGGTAAATATTACAATATTGTTCCAGATAAGTGTAATTGACATTACTCTGCAGTCAAAAGTGAGGCTATAGCTCCTTATAACACACAAGTTCTCTGTAAAGGGTTTGAACATCCCAATTTAGTTTGGTCTCAGTAACAGCATGGTGTGACCCAGTCACATGATATTCAGGATATCCACACATCTGCATTCTGTTCTTTGCAGTATTATTCCTTTGCTGCATCTTCATGCCCACCTCCAGAGACTGCTCCAGGAAGCCACCGTGCTTGTGTCACCCAGGGATGGCTGTCCCACAGCTGCTCTAGATTTGCAGTGGGCTCAGAAGGCTGATGGCTTAAAAGCATTGAGGAAGATGCATCTCAGAAATATACAGAATAAAACAGAATGCCAGTGCCAGTGCCTCGGGTGTGACCGGGCAGAACCAGATGCACATGGAACGTGGGAGGCACAGGGGATCACTGGGCTGCATCCCCCACTATGCCTCAGCACTAGCACATGTTGCCAAAGGCAGCTTTCCTTCAATCCCTAGCACAGTGTAGGGGATGCAGATGTTGGCCCTGCACATCAAGAAGCACAGCGTAGAGCTGGGAACCATGCTGCCTCCTCAGAGCACCACTGAGCTGTGCATGCCCCACAGGAGTCCAACACAAGTGCCACATCACATCCTGCACGTGGGCAGTGTGCCTTCATTCGTGTCACAGCCTCTGGCTTCAACTCTCTCCCAAGGCCATCACACTCATTTCTGGAAGTATATGAATGTTACCAGCAGCATAACCCTGCAGAAGTCACATTTTGGTTCACAGTACACTTGATGATTCTGTTTGCAAGTCCCTTTGTCAGGTATGGCCAGCTAAAGCACAAATACTGACACATTTTGACAGCCTGAGGCACTAAAAACAGATTCTTCTTTTCGACCATTACATTTAATCTTTCAAATTTGCGTTATTAAGCAACAGTAACACGACAGCCTTCTAAATACCCATCTAGGACATTGTTCTCACTGTCTAATGCAGTTTTAAGTATAAACTAAAAATGGTCATTGTAAATCATCATGGGGCAATTCACATGCTGCACTGGCTTCCTAGCCAGAGCACATGGCTTTTTGAGAAGATAATTCTAATTTAAGTCTTGACAAGACCGCAATGTCTTTAAGAACTGTAATGAAAAGCAGTTCCTGTGCTGTGCTCCCTCGTGCACAAAACTAACAAGTGAACAGCACAGCTGCTATTGGTAAGGTAACTAAGGAGAATTTTGACTCCAAAGCTAAATGGGAAAGCGTTTATGACTACTTTGGGTTTCAGACACCTACAGAGGAAAAACAAAATAAAAGCAAAATGCAAGAGGGAGATGATCCCATAGTGTTCACCTAAAACAATACTAGGATTACATATTTGTTATTCTATTCCAGTAAAACCACTTCCATACCATTCTTCCTCTTCCCTTTCAGGTGAACAGAGTTCCTACTGCAGAAACACACAAAGACCCCTGGAGTAACCCTGAGGCAGTACATAACTGTACTAAACCAACACCTGGACAATTGTCTTCCTCAGATTAAGTACTCCCAGGAATTCAGAGGGCCACTATCCAGGCTGGACTGTGAGTTTGTGTTCAGCATCTCCACTGTCCTTCCCAGTTTCTTAGGGTACCTTTCATTTTTGAGGAAAGAAATCCCTATTCTTTTTAATGAGTTACATATCCAACCATGACGATCACTGCTTTGTGCAGACTTTCAAAGCAAATTCTTTCTAGGATCAACATGCCATCTTAGATTTACCTATCAGAGAGAGAAACATGCTCTTGCTCATTTTACATACTGGTTAGATTGTATCACAGATAATTTTATCACAAGTGATTCACTTCTAGTCAGAAAGGCAGGAATTTCTACAGGAATTCAGCTCAGCGTTAATGGAATCCCATTTGAAATGTTTCATGCTTTAGGCCTCATTTATACGAGCCCATTGATTTAAACCTTGATGGGTCTCACAGAAATACAGACAGACACAAAGAAAGGACAGACACAAATAACTAATTCAGCTTCACAGAAGTACCTCCAGCTTACCTGCTCATCTTTCTCATCAGAATCCATAAATGGAAGTTCATCTGTGAACTAAATTTGCTCCATAGTAACAGGTATCCACAAACAAAACTGAGTTTTGTGTTAGTATTGTCTCTACCATAGTCTCAGAAGAGAAACTACTCAGTGTAATCATGAAAACTCCACTGGAGTCAGTTCCTCTTTCAAAGGAAGCATTTGTGCCTAAAATCCGTGTCAATTTAAACTGGCCAGCCTGCCCATCTGAGCTATTCTCTGCACTCAGCCACAGTTTTATCTTGCACATTACACTCCTCTCAAAGGCTGGTTTTTTCCAGAGTCTTTACACATCTCCAGTCTGTAGTCAGAGTTCCTTCCAACCCCATATTGATAGCAAAATCTATTTACAGGAGCTCTTTTTCCCCTGCATGTTCATGTAGCCACAGAACAAAATCATCAACAGTGAAACATTTCCCTACCTCCAAACTGGGGCAGTTCATTGATACCTTGAGTTCATTTCTAAGACACATTCAAATTTATGTGAACTTTTCAGAAGCAAAGCAGGACAGCAACTCCTAACCACACCACCCAAAAATGAGTGTAAACAGCACCTACTTCATGGCAGTCAGACCCAGCTGCAACCACCAAGTGAGCCCAAGCTGTACTGCTGGCACCCTCAACCCCTGGAGTCAGAACAAACACAGCATCGTATTTCCAGGGTATGTCCCCAGGATTACTTGCAAAAACAAGCAACGATTTTAAGAGGGAGGTAACTTATATCACACAGTACACTGGAGATGGAAAAGAGAGGTTAAGACTTCCCACACACCCAGCCAGGTACTGCAACAGGTTACCCAGAGAGGTTCTGCAGTCTCTATACCACCTTCAGCAGGAGGTTGGACGAGAGCCCTCTGGAAATCCTTTCCAAAACGAGTTATCCAATGACCTTATGATGCAACAAAACAATTTCCTTCTTTTTTATTTTGTGAAAAGTTTGCTCTCCGTTCTTTATACGTACAACAAAACTTTATTCAGCAACAGTCATTGAAGCTTTGATTCTATTACCATAAATAAAACAAGCGTTCACAGAAAAACCAATGAATTCACAGAAGGTTGGAACACAGCTTATGGGGACAAATATGTCATCTACAATAAGCACGAAGAAACCAAGAAACAGTCTGCACTAGCAGTGCATTCAGAGAAATATATTTGAAATCTAAATATCTATGCCCAGCTGTCACAGAGCATTTACAGACTGGCAGAAAGAGCAGCAGACTTCATTTTCCACCCAAGTATTTTCTATATAGCCAGTTGAGGGGGAGGAGGGAGAATCTTAGATAAATCTGATGGAAATATATATGTGCAGGCCTCATACTGAACTGAGTCTGTTTGGTTTTTTTTCCCTGTAAACAACAGTAAAAGTGAAAAAGAGAGCAAGAGAATAGTTGCTTTTTCATTATTTGGACAGAAGCAGTTAAGAGAGGGAAGAGAAGAAGACAGGTCTTTACTCAATGTTTCCTCTGTCTCAAGTGCAAGTAAAATTAATGAAGGACAATTCCCCCAGCAGACTTCTATTTTCCCTCCTCAATACCCTTGTCTTTCTCCACACTGATATGTTGCTCTTGCCATTTTTAGGGCATGTTGTGCAAGAAACTATTGCTTACTCAGAACACAAGGCTCTCCACATTCCCTGAAAGGACATGGACAAACCTCAGACTACGGGACAAGCTGTGCTGAAGAAGAACCCAGAGGACATTTCCAGCAAAGCCAGGAATGGGGCTGTGACAAGCAGTAAACAACACAACATCCTCCTTCAGATGTCAAGAAGAAAATTAGTAAGTCTTGCATCAGAAGTATGCCTCTTCTACTGCAAAGATAGCTGGTTCTGCTGCCTCTGGATGGAAGGGGGCAAGAAAGAATCTGCATTCCAGACAGAGGTGCCACATCCTTGACACCCAGAGTCCTAAATCAGGAGTTTACCTACTTGCTTTTGGCACTGAAGGGCATACAGAATTCACCTATGGCGCCTAGGCTAGAGTTAAACCCAAAGTAGGAACGTTGCCCTGTTTCCTGATACTTCTCCTGCAATTCTATCATTAGGGTGAGGTATCCCACTCATCCAGACCTCTGGATGGGGAGAAAATAGAAAAAAAAACCCTATTCCCAACTCAGAATTGGATTAGTCAAGCAGAGTTTTATGGCTATCTCACAGATTCTGGACAAGAACTATCTGAGGCTATGACAGCTCAAAAGAAACACCCTCTATAAAGCAGTTAGTGGAGATCTACCAACCTCTGTTTTCCCTGATATCACCACCTGAAGTGATCGAGCATGCCCTCAGATCCTCTGGAAAAAGACTGCCTGCCTCAGGCAAAATCCCATTTACTGTTTCTCCTGCTTTTGCTGCATTCAACCCTACACAGCTACGCTAGCACCAAGGTCTGCAAGGTCAAGGAAAAAAATATCCAACTCTGCTGTTATTGTGGAAATACACACACTTCAAAAGTTGCTTCTTATGTCTCTTTGAAAGAGTCTACTTAGCTCCAGGTCTGTAAGCAGTCTCAGGCAGATACTCAGAAAGAAAAACAGACCTGAAGGATGATGTCAGGAAACTAATCACCAAACCAAAAGGATGCTCAGTGCAGTGAACATGGCTTAAAACACCTCTCAGGTGACTCAGTATTCGTTCAGTAAGCTCACTGAAACTGATACAGATTCACCATTTAGAATCTTGATATAAGATTCAGGTTTATTGTATGTCGGATGATTTCCAAAAAATACATTAACTGAAAAAAACAATGGCAAATTATGTGGCTAGTTTTGTTAACTAATTCTAGTAGCAACAGCACAAAAATGTTTTGCTGCAGTGTATTTTATAACAGCTACAATAAACACAGGGAAAGTGTCTTACCTAGAAGCAGCACTTTTCACTAGCCCAACCAACACTCCTAGAAAAGGAGCAGTTTCCAAGAAACACGAGTCAGGCAGCACTGGTCAAAGTTCAATTATCAATTGAATAAACTTTTTGTAAAGAAAGGAGAATTAAAACCAAAACAAAACAATCGTTGCACAAATACAAGTTATGACCACTGAGAACTTAAATACAACCCTCCTGCAGCAGTATTTATTGAAGAGAAAAATAATACAGACAAACATAAGGAAGTCCAGATTCAAGCACACTCCAGGTTATCTTGCTTTTCAGCACAGGACAAAGGGGAATGCGCTGTTGGTAGGGAGCACATCAGATTTTCCTTCTCAGAGGAACAGTATTTCCCAAACCCTTCCAAAATTCAACATGAACTTTTCACCCTTGTACAACCTTTGCAGGTATGGGTAAACAGAAAACTCACTCTAATTTGGGAAAAACAAAATTTACGTTTTTGTCTACTCCAAACAGGTCAATGCACATGCTTTTTAGTTTGCCATTAAAGCATTACTGGTTTTTAACCTCTGCTCGAGAGCCTGTGCTTTTCGCTTTATCTACATAAACTGCATTTAACATCTCTTTGCAAATGAGTGAGTTTGATACCAATAGAAACCCAGTGCTTCAGGGTAAAATAGTCCCTGATTTATTTAACAGAATATATTTACAAAACACAAAGTAAGATAGATGTAGATTTTTAGCTTCATTACATAAGAATTAATACAACTCTGTTTACAAACTCTTGGCTGCATTAGGGAAATATCAATACCTTTCTATAATCTTAATGATGTCACAGGGTCAGCTGAAGCTAATGGAGTTGCACTGTGGATTAATTCAGACCAATTAGGATGGTAAATTAATTGAAGGTTTGTCACTCTTGCACAAGAACAACAACACAAGCAAACCTTTGTGGAAATTTCAAGTGCTGTTGCTCCACCCATCTGCCCAAACTGGAGCCCCAAAGCAGTGCTGGTTGAACAAAACGTGTGTGTGCCTGAGCCACTGCTGAAGGGCCCGAGAGCTCAGAGGATCCCGAGGGAACTGAGGCTGGAATGCAGCTCCCAGCTGCAGGGGGAGCAGCCCCCCTGTGCACAAGGGTGCAGCAGCACAGCTGCTGCCTGGGGCACCGGAACTACCGGATCCACCAGGGCTGCCTGCGCACAGCTCCAGAAGGGTCACAGAGCAACGAGTACATCGTGCCCTCCGTTCTCTGTGACACAGCAGTGCTGCTGTGTAACAGCACCCATTCCTCTCTGAGCCCTGACACCAGCCTGTAGCAGCTGAGCTAAGTCCCTGACATCCAGGAGGCTCTGACACTGTGAATGCTGAAGGAGCTGTACCCTTTGGCTGTAAGGGCGTTTGGGATCCTATGGAACTGGTTGGAGCACTGCCCTAGTGCCCGGAAGCTGGAGCACTGCAGGGTGTGTCCTTTGTTTCTCATCAGGTGTGCACCACGAGGGCCCAGCCCTGCCTGCTCTGCTTCAGACAGCCCTCACACAGCACGTGAAGCACGGCTGCCTCTGCACACACACAAACCCACCCACACACCGTAGGGTGTCTTCACTCACATCCTTTTTGGCTGACTTGTGTTTTCATGGCTTTTAGCAAGAGACAATTAGGGCTGTTCACAGAGACAAAGAAGCCACAAAGTCAAATCAGAATGTCAAAACAGGCAAAATTTTAGAAGACAGATTTTGAAAGGCTGCATCACACACTCATCCTTCATAATGACTGCTTTTAATTGAACAATTTCAAGTGAATTTTCACTGAATTCTAATTTTCATTACCAAAGGTTTATGACCCAGGATATTCTATGATTGGGTGAGACCTTGGTGGTTTTCTTTCTTTTCCTCTTTATGGACACTGCCATGAGAACTACAGTGAAATGCATTCCTCCTACTCTGGTAATAAGGTATACATTCAATTTTAAATTATAGAAGGCAGTGGTTTTTTTTGGATTTGTTACTTTTAGTAACACAAATCAGGCTGGCTGGAGATGTTATTTCTACTCTGGAGAGTCTTGTGCAAAGTTTTAAATTGTAAAGGGAAATAAGTGATTCTAGCTTTTATGACAACACAATTCTCAGTGACTTCTCTTGGTATTATTTTTCTGGGAATAGCTACACAGTGCAGACTAATATAAACTTCTACGAGCACCTTGAGAGAAATATGCATTTAAAAGTTTATTTAGGCAAGGTAAAAGATTACACTGAGAAGACTACATTAGCACACGCTAAGCAGAATAGAGCTCGATTTCCACTCTGCCTACATTTTCCTCACACGTGAGTGGACAATTTAAAGTTCCTACTTCCACTTGGAGGCAAAGTCCTAATCTTCACACTCTAGTCAAGCCAAACAGACAGATTCTTCTGTGAGAATAACTGGAAACAGATCCTCCTAGGCAACAACCTGTGAAAATCTAAATTATGTATCTGTAACTGGACTGTATAAAAAAGTTTATAGAAGTAATTTAAAGAATATTGATACTGAAAAATTAGTTTCTCAAGCCAAAAGGGAGTAAGTATCACGAGGAGTTCTGTGGTTTTATTCTCCAATAGCTCAGTTTAGATCCTGGGATGGATGCCACAAACTGAAAACAAGCAACTACAATGCAAGTTGGTAAGCCTGAAGGACCAGCACTGACACCTTACAGAATTCTTGTGTCCTATGGGCAGTTTTTCCATTCTAAGTAATAAGCTTCAGAAACAGATCTGTGGATACTAGTAGAGAGGGACGAGAAGAACAATTTGGAAACAGCACTCCATAGTAACAGGTAGCTGAACACAAATATATTCTGGTTTAGATTTTTAACAGGTTCTAGTTCTTTCCTCACACAATACATCCATCTTTTTAAAGTACCGAGATTAATTCAAATAAACACCCTTAAGCAAATGAAATTTGAAGTCAGTAGCATCTTATAAGGATATAAAGTGCCCTATTTCCACCTGTTTAACTTCTCTGGCTGTATTTTGCAAACATTTAAAATAACATTAACTGTATGGACAGACAGCTAAGATAACTTTATCTTCTGGCACAGCTGGCAAGAAGCAATGTGCAAAAAGAATGTACTGAGATTTCATTCTGCAACAGGAACTGGTATTTTGGTATTAAGTGTATATGAAAAAAATTACACCAATAAATTTTCTTTACTCGGGAGAAATATCAGCCTAACAGTTCTACAGAAGTGACAGGAAACTGCTGCAAAAGAATCTGTGGGGAATATGGAAAGAATTGGACTAGTGTACTGTAGACACGATTTTATCCTTGTATCTGACTTGAATGTTATATATTTATATATAAGATCTGTAGATAAAAGTAGTCAACCTTCTCCCCATCGTGTTCCCAACTCCACAGAAACATACACAGCTACTCTAGTAAGAGCTAAGCTAAGCTTTGACTGAAAATAGGATTTTAGGTTTCTCGCAAAGTTACAGGTATTCCTCAGAAAAACTTATGAACCAGTATGGATGCTGAAAGCAGGCAGGGAGAACCGAGCCTGTGTGAAACCAAGTCACACAGGCTTCTCAGTCTGGCCTGAGAAAGCCTGAGAAAGAATCCAAACAGTCCTTGGTAAAGGACAACAATCTGCACGTGTTGTTTAGTCAAGGGGTGGTGTTCCACTTAACCAATGATGGTGATGTGTTGCTTTAATGACCAATGAGAGTTTTACCTCTCGGACCTTCTCAAACATGTGTGTAAAAGAAGGTTAAGAATAATAAACTTTGCTCTCCTGTTCAACTCACAAGAGTCTGTCTTGTACTGCCTTGGTGCGCCCAACAGTGTGACAAACCAGATTTCCAACTTGCTGGTTTTGTTACTCAGTCTAGCTCTTGGGAAAGTGTTTTCATGCACAGTGTTCTCTATTCTAAAATGATTAATTAGTCTGTCTTTTCCCTTGAGAGAAGTTCAAAATAAGCAGTTCTAAAGAGTTAATGTGTACAAACATTTGCACAAACAAAAGCTACAACAAAAACACAGGAGTTGCAGAGTTTGGGTGACAGCACAGTTGGTGTGCTTTGTTACCCTCCTAAAAGGAGGGGAGGAGAGATTTACTCCCTAACTTGCTTACAGTTTACATACAAAGAGCCAAGGTTAAAGCACCAGTTAAAAGGAAGCTTTCCACACAGGAGACATATTCAGAGGAGCTGCATCTGCTTAGCTCTGTTGGATTTTGTTTGGTCACGGTCTCATAGGTCACTCAGGTTTTAATAAGCTTTAGTTAATTGTTTTTGAAGGACTCTTGCTGGAACCAATCCCTATTTTGTAGGAATGTAACATGCACAAGATTCTTAGTTGGTTTTGTGAATGAAACTCTAAATTTGTAAATATGAAACGGTTTATTTCCAACAGGTGTTTAAGGGCTGCATTCTTGACACTGGAATATGGAGAATACTGACAGAAATTAGTAAAGGAGAGCTGTGCTGTGCAAAGGATTCAATTAGAAAGGTACATAAGAAGCTCAAAGTTTTAATAGGACAAGAGATGATATGCAAAAAGGTATGGAAAAACTCCATGGCAGAAAGAGATTGGTTCAAATCTCCAAAGTCTGCAAGAAGCTCAGAAAAAGCGACCTCTCAGCACCCTGTTCTGGCCCCCTGCACTTCAATGCCTTAATTTATTCTAGTCTAACACAACTGCAACTTCAGTCTTCTTGAAGCAATCAACAAGTCTGTTGCTCAGAATGAACATCAAACTGATGGCTGAAGCTAAATGGTGCTTTGTCAGGCTGCCAGAGTGACTCTTTAAAAGAAATACATTATTACAATTTTAGGAAGTACATTTATGTCTCAAGTACAACTGGCCTCCATTTTCCTGTCAGTGTCAGGCGTGCATACGTACTACTGCCAGGATGAAGGGCAAACTACTGCTGCAGCTGTTCTGTTTATTTCTCCCAGCTTCCAAACCGTGCTACTTCTTCCCTCCTTTGCAGTCATATGCCAAAGCCTCAACTAACGTCAGCTGTGGCAAGACACAATCCTTGCCTCAGAGTGATCACGGGTTAAATAGCCAAGACTAGCAAATGGTAAGTGAAATAATGAAGGAAGTTAGAAACAAAGTTACTTGCCCAAGGTCACAGAGCAGGACATGAGCACAACCCCTTTATAGGCTTCCCTTCCTAATAGGTCGCATTTTCACTCACCTTTGGCTGGACTTTCTTCTCTGCTGCTTCTCCTCAGCTCTGAATAATTCATTCTCCAGCTCTTAGGTCAAGATTTCTGTTCACATTTGATAATGTTAACTAGGCAAGAAGTCCTATGCTGCCATATTAAAAGCACTGGCAAGATCAAAACTTTTTAGCCAAGAATTTTGCTGCTGGTTTATTTATCCATATACATTTAGAATTGTTTCTTCTTTACTGATACTGGTGTTATTAATTCTGTCTCTGTCTGCCCATGGCAAGGACTTAATTTCTGCAATTCATAGCTCAAGACACAAAGAAACTCTGCATTTGGATTAGCTGCTACATTTCCTCTGCCCCATAAGTATTTTGATTTTGTAGAGTTTACTGCAAATATGGCAACAAAACTTAGTAGTGTAAAGGCAAACTGAGTTCTGCTACTAATAACAATTCATCACTTCTACATACAACACTGGATCACCCATCCAAATAATTTGAAGCCAAAAAGAAATTCTGTAACAAGTAACTTGTTCTAGATAAACAAAATTGTTGTCTTGACCATAGCCAGACAAAGTTATTGCACTGAATAAACTTGGCAGATGTAATTTCTGGAAGTGCTAAATACAGCTCCTACTGACCCTAACTGCAGCAATAAACTGGCATTTTTAAAACTGAGATTGTCCACTGCTCAATTACCCTAAATCAGCTTGTCTAAGGGAGTGTCCTTTGGCTACCTTTCATTAATTACAGCGTAGCAACTGAAGCAGTTGTAGGTAAAGTGCCTCAAGCCTTTAAACAGAATGCTGGCCACATCATCTTCTGTCCTTCTCATTGAACTCCACACCTACATGCTGTACCTTCCTGGTTACATTTTCTTTGAGGGGTACAATACAAACAACTGTGTAATTCTAAATCACCCAGAGAAAGAAAGGAGGCCATGTGATGGTTACTAGGGAAATTGGAAGTGTACAGGAGACAGTAAGAGTAGATTTCTTTCTGTTGTCCAAACCGATGGTGCACATTTCCCACAGTGGCCCCTCTTAACCAGCCACCAGCTTCCAGAAAAAACTGCAGGACACTGGCAGTCCTTTACCTAAATGTCACAAAGTATTGTTCCAACAGGAGTGTGTAAAAAACATCTAGGACTATTCTCTAACACTTATGTAAATTACGTCACCTAACTTTAGATCCTGAAATACACCATATCAAGTATTTAATAGCACACTTTATATAATAAAAATTCAATGGAGCGTAAGGTGGTTGCTATAGCAACTGGATGAAATAACTCCATGTGAACTAGATGAGAGTGAGGAAAATGCATGAGGTGTCCTGGTAAGAAATCGGGATGCTGGTGTCTAATTACAATGCACCAACCTAAAGATTACTCAGTACTCTTCAGATTCCATGGGTGATTAAAGAAGAGGCAAACTCCAAGCAAAGGGCTGGCTGTCCCTTGGTCTGGATACGAAATGGGATAGCACAGCTCTCTCAGGCTGTCGTTGAGTTGTGACAAAAGCTGGATGATAAATTCTTTGGTTCCAAAAAATGGGCATGTTTCCCTGACTAAAGTGTAATTCTTGTCCCCAAACAATTTTATTTATAACAAATCCCATGTCAAAAAGTGAAGAGAAGCACAGAAACAATGAAGCTGCAAGCCCAAAGAAATATCCATCTTCAAGCTCAACAGTGACTTTACTGAGCAATGTTATAAATTGGCTTGCATGTGAGCAGAATTAGACACAATGACTTCTGGAGATGCTTTGGAGTCTTACACACCATCGTGGTTCTATTTAAGCTGCATGTTTGGCCTCTCATTTCAAAGCTTGTCCTGCCCTTAATTCAGGCCCACATGCTGTTTCTCTTGAAGCAAAAAGGAATGGAAAAGAGTTTTGAAGACAGAAAACTCTCACTATTTTTTCATGTCTGAATGAAGTGAATTTTCAAATAGGATGAAGAAATAGAATAGAATTGCTGTTTTAGAACCATTTCTAAAAAAGCTCCTGTTAGTTTTTCCGAAAAGAATTTCAGAAGTAGTAGTGGCTGCTTCAATTCCAATCAAGTAAATGCCTGAGACCCCAGAACTGGAAGCACTGAAGAGAGGGTGCTCCTACAAGGAAGGAGAGGATTTGTGGTTAACTTAGTTACTGTTCACACATACTGCACATAGAACTTAAAAAAAGGACAGAAAGAAATCCATGCAGCCTTGATTATGTATCCTTAATCTAAAAGCCTCACATTTACTACCATTTTCATTTAATTCAAAACATAAATGCTTTATTTTTGCAGCAGTTTTCCCTGCTGTGGTGTCTTTTGAAATCCAATAGCAGTGCAAGCATGTAGTAAATTAGTCTGTAGTCATTCAAAAGACAGGCTGAAAGATGGATTAGGAATAAAATCAGAACCATATCACTGTGTTAATGTTTGAGCTAATACTATATATAATTGCACTGCTAATGCCAGCTTCAGCTTATAGACTCTCAGGTGCCCACATTAACATTAAAACACAACTATCAGAAGTTAGGAAATAAAGAACTGCTGCCAAATGTGACTTTAAACCTCTGGGAAGACAAAAGTGACACAGAAATCTTCTCAGCGGGATAAACCATTTGGCACACAGTGTATGCCAACGTATTCCTCCCCATTTTCAGCACCTGTTACCACAGCATGCACAGGAGGATGCGCAGCAGCCCATTGCTGTGAGCTAATCCTCAGCCCTAAGTACAGTTTAACAAAGGCAACCTCCAGCTGGAGGGGGAGGAGGAGAGATCTCAGTATCTCAGTGTTCCCTTCCACTGCTGGACATTAGCTTAAGTGGCCACAGTTACAACCAACACTGCAGGGAAATTAACTTCTTGGAAACACCCAGCAGTTAGGAGAATCAACCATTACACACAGGAAGACTGAGTATGAGCTGATACTCAAATAAAAGTGAAATTTCCGACTGAAAGGTCTGTGTTCACTTTCTGGCCAAGTACTATTCACATATCAGAAACAAGCTGGACTCACCTTCCCTTTCAGGTGTCACAAAAGCACAGCGGCATTGCACCTTTAGCTTCCTTAGAAAGGTTAGGAGGAAACCAGCGTGAAATGGTTCAAATGTGAAGCTGACCCATGAGCCTCCAAGAGACACTTTTTCCTGAAAGCATTTTAAGGGGCATCCAGGCTCCCTTTCCACTGACTTCATTTATGCCAGCCAAGCAGATTCAGATCTTCCAACGGCTGAAGTGCCTTCAAAATCTGGCTACTGCTTTACACAGCCCTTTTCACTATGGTTCTCTACCTAATTTTGACCTAAGTAGTGCTTTACACTCAAAAATTCACTAGTTTTAAGGCACTGATTAATGTAAAAAGTTATGTCATATCAGAGCATCTCAGTTTTGAGACAAATTAGGAGGCAACGTCCTGAGAAGGGTATCTCCTGTAAGATAAAGGGCCTCTGTTGAATTCCACAGCCTGCAATCACAGCTTGTTTTGAACACAGGCCACTGAAAGAATTCCACTGCCCTCGCCACCTTTGAGCTTAGAGGTACAGGACTCATGTCTGGGCATAAAGCAGACACACGGGACACAGAACCATAACATACAGACATACAGAAAACCATTTCTTACTAGTTTTACAGTAGGTAAGCAAAAACTCAAACATTTTTGGGGTGGGAAGGGGGCTTCACAGGAACATGGGGACAGACACAACGAATTTTGGATAAGCAGAAGCTATGCACAAATTTTTAGTTCAGTTTATTCAGTGCTGTAACTGAGGGTAAGTATTTGGAAATATAGTTTATCTGTTTCAAACCTGCTGTCACAGAACTTGGGGGAAAAAAGTAAACATCTCTCAGAGTTTAGTACTACCACAAGGAAATCACACATCCATTTTTGTTTGAACAAAAATCTCACATCTAGAGTACCAAAAAAGAAGGCAAGACAAGCCTCTTGCCTCAGTCCTAAGTGCCTGAAGTTCCAATAGCAGCCCACAACTTCTGAGAACAATTCTCCACCACCTGTAAAAACACAAAAATTTTTACTATTAACAAAAAAATTCCATTCATGCCCTCTGCCAATCCAAATCCCACATAATACTAAGTACTGTATTCCAAGTGTGATAGTGCTAACACCTTAAGCAGTAGGACATTTGATTCAGTGACAGAAAACACAAAACACAAGGAAAAAACCAAAAACAAAACAAGCAAACAAAAACACCCAACCAAAATATCTAAAAAAAAAAAAAAAAAAAAAAAAAAAAAAAGAAACCAACAAAATACCCACACTCCAAACTGGCATCAGTTTGAAAACAGACTGAAAAAGGAATTATTTCCAGAAATCTTTATTACTTTTTCACTCTGTGAAACAGTTTACACGAATAAACTGCAATCTAGTTAAATCTTCATAAACAAAGAATTAAAGCATGGTAACATAATTAATGCCAACCAGGACGCATTTACGGGAAAAGCATCTTAACTGACTTGATGAGATTAAAAGTTCATATTAAAAAGTAAATTGCTTGATGTGGCTAGAATTGTATGTGGATAAATTAGACTTGGTACTTCCAGAAACATTGACTGAGAACTTGAAATGAAAAAAACACATATCACGCACTAATCAAATTTAAAACCAATTAAGTGACAAATCTCAGTTGAAAGTTGTAGCAGAAAATCCTCATCAGGGAAGCAAGGCTTTTAATGGGTTCCCGAAGGCTCTACAGGCTTTTAGTAATTTACTTTTTACAATTAGCTACCCAGTGGAAAAAAGTAACAGTAAATCTGGAGAAAAGACAGGAAAAAGCAAGAAGCAGGTGTACCATGAATGTACAAGGACAAACACAGAGCAGCTTGCACTTTAATACTTCTAATCACAAACACATGCAAACATTCTGGTCCATTGGGAGAAGGAATCTCTGTGAATCCCCGTGGCACAGGATACCAGTAGGAGCTCCGAAGTGTTTGGGTCTTGCAGGTTCTTCCTTAAGGAGGAACTTGAGCTCTTTAACACTCGTGATTTCAAACAGCTGCTCTGTACACGCTGGTGCATGCACGCACTCCTCCCAGCGCACAGGCACAGCTACAGAACAGCTCCTGGGGCAGCAAAGAACGGGAACAAAGGCTGTGTACACAGGAGGATTAACAGGTTGCCATGAAGACAGGATACATTTTTCTGATGGATACAAGTTCCTCACTAAGGTGAGGGATGAAATTAAACATCCCTGTGTCATTACACTCCAAACAATGTGCCAGAATCAGTGACAACCAGCTACTCCTCCTCTCCAACGTGCTCCTGAGGATTGGGAAATTTATTTACTGAAAGATACAACAAACACTCAGCTGAAGATAACTAAAACTTCACACAAGTAAAAATTCTGTTATTTCTCAAGCTATTACTGTAACTCCAGTATTACTTTTCTCTTCTACTATAAAACCTTTCTTTAAAATCTCTAGTGTGAAGGTGGCTGTGGTCACCATTTTAAATATCTCCAAAACAATCAATTGCAAAACCACAACCTTATGTGCAACCTTGAGACCAAGGGCCAGCAGAGTAGTTGCAGTGACTAAAAAGCCATTTGCACTCGCACTGATTTCCCTCTTCAGGTTCAGAAATAATGCTGGTAAATTGTTCTTCACTTACTTTTTTCTGAAGCATCCTGTCCTCATTAATTCCCATCATGACACAATAAAAGCAACAGAAAACACCTGCTAGCAAGAAAATAAATTTGTAGAACTAAAAATTAATTTTTCTGGAATAAAAAAAGTCTGGAATAAAAACTGTTCTGAAAGGTAATGACTGTTCTTTATTCAAACAGGACAGTTTCATAAATAATAAATTCACTGCCACAGGTTGCCCAGAGAAGCTGGGGCTGCCCCATCCCTGGAAGTGTCCAAGGCCGGGTGGTATGGGACTTGGAACAACCTGGGATAGCAGAAGGTGTCCCTGGCCACAGCAGAGGCTTGGGACTGGATGATATTACAGGACCTTCCAACCTAAACCATTCTATGATTCTATTACTTTCAGAGCATAACCCAGCATTTGCTTCACAGGCACAGTTTTAAGTAACCAGGTTGTTCAGCTTCACAGGTTAAGTAAATGAAAGTGAGGGGTGCATCTCAAAAATTAGTTACAGTTTTAGGTCACTTTTCGGAAGTGAAATGTGGTATGATTTCATGTTGGCTATAATCCTGTGCCCTTGCTAATTGCTCTCAAAAAAGCAGACTGACTCTCTTATCCTCCTCCCCTCAAGCACCTATTCACAATCCCCCCCCGCCCTAGTGCACATGCTGATCTGACAAAAAAGGAAACTCAAGAATCACAACAACTCCCATCATCATGCTATTCAAGGACACAATAAATTACTATTTCTCAAGTACTAAGGGACCCAAAGACCCACATACATGCAAAATTACCTTTCCAAATGCAGACCTTGCTTGTTGAAAATCTGCAATGTTCAAATGAATGATGGGATTCAGACTTGCTATTAAATGGCACATATGCCTCTGATGTGACTACAGCTATTAGTGTTCATATCTAGTATTTCAGCATCTCCTGTGGTAAATTATTTCCTGTAACCGAGAAGCAATTATCACAAAGTTATTGGGTTATCAGACTTCTAATGATGTTATAATTGCTTTCATTATACAATTGATTTGTCACAAATGTTCATATTACAAATATTATTGACCTCCTGCCACTCCTATAACATAATTAAAGTTTCATTTCAGTTTAACACGTTGCCCTCCCGTGCTGCTGAAGACACATCACAGAAGCCACAAGGTACCTGCAGTCATTCTGCAGCTCAACAGCTGTATGAGAACCTGGCCAGATGTTATTTTGCCATCTGTTCTCCAAATTCTTACTTTCTCCATACTTCATACCTTGGTATTTCAACACCTTAACTTCACTTCCTTATTTCACTGTGCTTCATTTCCCCCCACTGTATCGTATTTCTCTCCATGTACAGAACAAACTTCCAGTTCTGCAGTTTTCCTTTGGACACCCACCACATTTGCACCAAAGCCAAATTAGTTTTTGCTTCCCTTTGCCTGGTATTTTTATTTTTGATAAAGTAATAGCCTAATTAATTAACTTTTAAAGTTTTTTCAGTGTTCAACTTCCACCTCTTAGCACGATTATTCTCCTTGTTATTTTCTTTCTGGAGATTTTGCTGAATCTCTCTGAAAGTTAAGAAGAGACCAAAGGAAGTGCAAATACACCAGTTTCGTATTGTCTTCTTCAAGCAGCCCCTTCAATCCATGCCTGTATTTTCTATGGAACTCTTACCTTCCACAAGCTGCTGTTCTGAAATAACATGAGAACTCTGTAACCTTTTGAAAGCGAGACCCCTAAAATCTAATATTGTTGACAGCTTTTTCAAAGTTACTACCTTCACACAAAGCAAAGCAAGACCCATCTCTCCCTGGTTTTTGTTGCCTGGCATTTCAAGTCCAGCTGATGGAGGCTCACCAGCCTGCCAGCACCAGGGAGTTCACATCTGACTTCTGCAAGTCTATGGGGTCATTAAACCATCCATCTGCCTACGCATTTTTCCCTGCATCTTAGAGACACCCACACTTTAAAAGCCACAGAGGATTAAAAACTTAACAGCAGGGGGGAAATCATGGTTAGTATTATTCTGTCCTGTAGAATCAAGCCATGATTAGGCTTGATTAGCCATCAAAACATGATTAGGAATTAGGGAACTACAGAAACATATAAAAAACCAGATGTCCGTTAACAGTAGAAACTCTGCAGTGTGAGAGCTGAAGTATATCGTTTTAGGTAGTAAAAAGGGAAGCCAATGCCAAGAACTGATTACTGGAAAAAGTCTAAAATACATGAACCATTAAAAACCAGAAAAATCTTTGTCAAAAAAAGTAAAAAAATAATGCATATTTTAAGTGTTTTGACATTGCTGTCATTTAAATTACTGCATTTCTAAATGAAGAGGAACAAAAAAAACTTGGAAGCTATGTAACACATATACAAATCACAATTGTCTGCCGTAAGAAACAAATATCCAGTAACTCTTCTAAAATGTCTCTATTCAGACATTCTTGCCTGTGTGGGAATCTGACATGCTGTGTCAGAAGTAGGCGACACCTAACTCCAGGAGCAGAATAACCATGTGATTTGCACTGAAGATACACCAGTGTAGATCAGGCGCAACTTCACTGAAGTCAAGGAACTTCATTCAGTAGCCACATATCCATTCTCTGCTAGGCAGAAAGAACATTCAGCAGCAAACATGTAGATGAATTTTAAAGGGTAAATTTCAGAATCCATGCTGTTGCTCTCTAATGCCCTTCACATTATTTCCCATTTAAACACTTGAGAGAGTCTCCACAAATTCTGAATACTACACTCTAAAAACCTATGGCCAGCTGTGTGATTGATTGTATCAGGAGATTAAGTCTGTCAACAGGTGGGAACCAGCAGTGTCATTTAGCCCATGCACCACTCATTTAGAAGACAAAAATTATAGAAACAACAGGAGAAACACCCTTGTGAAGTCACAGTTACAATCCCTACCTTAAAACTGGCTTTATTAGTATGGACATTTGCCTCTCCCAAAACAGCATTAATCTGCTTATGAGAACCACCAATGCCAAAATATATGTATTAACCCTACAGACTTGGAAAGAACAAGTGATTACATCACACAAGGCTTTTGCAGAGAACCTTCCAAACAGACCTGATTGGCAGGCAGCTTCAGCTACGGAAATCAGAACAACACAGATCTGAGGGCAGGACAGGCTGGCTAAAAAATACAAAACTCTTCACACAAAAAATAAAGCTTATGTCACATAAGTATTTCAAACTGCTACTGTGCTACCTGTTGCTTAGCAATGTCCTCTCCTCTAACAAAAAGCTGTCTTTTGTTCCTATGAAGTTCTAACAGCAGAGACAGCAGTCCTGGTGCTCAGGCTTTAAAGACACTTTTGTGAGGACAGCGAAGCTGACCCTGAGGAATCACTGCCTGCCCTGCTCACGTCTCTCCAACACACTCGGTGCCTGGCTCTGCAGCGCTGTCTCCCTCCATGCCCCCACACTGCACTGCTGACTTCCACCCAGTGGCACTCACACCGCCCACTCGTGTCACCTCCCTGCAGCTCCCTCGGGGCCAGAGGGGCACACACGGGCACAACTGTGCAAGGACTGAGCTGTCATCTCTCCCTTGGCACAAGCTGTTCCACCGATTCCAACCATCTCCTCCAGCTTCCACCGCAAGGAAGCGTGACTGGAGCCTTGATTCAACTTTCCATTAAATGCAAAAATGTTTTCTACTTACAGTGGTGTAGGAGAAAGACAATACTGCCGGTATAGCAATGCTTAAAAGCTCTTTACAGGAATTTCACTCTTCTCAGAACAATCTCTCTTTTCAGAACAACTAATTTCTAGCATGCTGATGATGCTTCACACAGAGAGGTGGAAGAGATCAGGCAGAGCCAAAGAAATCCATCAGGCATTTTTTTCAAGTCTGAAGGCAGACTTTAAAAAAAAAACCCACTCACTTTTCATATACTCCCTGCTATATTGCGTTCTGCCCATAAGTGCACAAATAAATTTGAACCCCATTTCTGAGGCTAAATCTCTCCAACATGCTCCATTTGGACTGCAGGGAATACAGGGCTAAAATAAGACACACAAAGTTACAGCAACAAGATGAAAATTAGAGATGTAGTTAAAAAAATATCCGGAGACAATTTCTTTCAGAGCATTCATCATTCACACAGCAAAGCATGACCTGACGGTGTAAATGTCCACTTGTGGTTTGTGGGTTTTTTAATGCAGAGCACAATACTTAAAATTATTAACTTACTTCTTCTTCTAGAATCCTGAAATACTGAATCTTTTTCTCCCCAGAATCCCATCAAAATAATGAACAATTGCATTTGATGCAACAGTAATTGTGAATTATAGATGCCAAGATTTGAAATTAATTATCACTACATATACCTTCCTCTGTTTTAATCAGTTATCTGTCAGTTAAATAATTTGATTATATTTTTAATTATTCATGGTACTTTAAAAACAAAACACACCAAAAAAACCCCAAGAACACAGATGATGACTGCAGTTATTTTCCAGCTATTTTGAGCTTAAATTTAAGGAAGGTCTTTTGGGAACACAGTCCTTGTTTTCTAACAAATGATGTAATTAACATTCACCAGCATGATTAAGTAATTGTTAACGATACAACCAATTGCTTCAGGCCATTTTTCACACAACATTCACATACATGACCACCTTTCCATTCCTACACATCATCTAATGACCACTTAAAAATACTGTGGGTACTGTAGATCCATCATTTCAAAGGGGACATACAGAGAAACCAGTAACACATTATTGAATCTTATCAGATGTAATTAATCGCTCTGTCATGTACAATTCCTTATTCCTGTGCTAAATTCAGGCTCAACTGGCAATACCAAATTGGCAATACCAGTCATGACCAGACTCCCATCAAACACTGGATGTCTCACTGAGCTATCCATTCCATATACAATGAAAAGATTTATAAGAAAATTCATGTTGGAATACATGCTTCATACAAAGCAATCCTCTAAAATATCTAAAGAGCAATGCAGCAAACTGCAGCGATGACTGAAGGCCATGTAATCCAGAGTTTTTGTGTTCTTTCCCATGGCATCTTAAAACAGGTTCTGCCAAGTTCACTCAGGGATTGCCATCACTATCAGCAGCAGCCTACTGTAGGGGAAGGTGCCATCAGGGCAGCCCTAAGACTTCTGTAAAGCTTGCAGAGGTGTGTCCAGCTGCAGCTCCTGGGCTGTCTGCTGCAAGCAGCATCCTGCCAGCCCTCAGAACACCGAGCCTGCAGAGCTACAGGCACATGCAGAGTGCCCTGTACAACATGCTCAAACTTTTCATCAGCCCCAAGGAGCTCCAGCAGCTGGACTGGGGGATCATTGTAAAGCTACCAGTGAAAATCAGCCCAACAAGAGTCAGCAGCAACCCCTTAGAGAGGTAACAATATTCTGGCAGAGTAGGAAAAATCTCAGAGGTTTATGCCCCATATTATTATTAGCGCTGCCCAGTCATTCAGTGGCTCTATTCCTGACATTCGAAGCCATTTAATTTGAAATGGAAACGTTTCCCCTGGATCACCAGGAATGCATGATACATGTTATAAGCCCAGTACTGTAAAATGATAAGGCAAACTGTGAAGTTTCCTGACACGGGACAGAGTCAGGCCTGTGCGTTTAAAAGGTAGAATATGAAAGAAGGGAATCATTTAAACAACTTACCCAGCCCTTGTACCAGAAAGAAATGAGAAAAATATTGAGAATTGCAATCTGAGTTTCTCTGAGAAGCTCATAAGCAAAAACCATTCGTGCACCTTAAACAACTACAATGAGCTCCTGGAAAGCAAGTCCTCAAGGCACTTTCAGGGCTTTACACTCTTTGAAATCCTCAGGAACTTGCTAAAAGAAGGAGGGTGTTTCGTTATACAGGATTTTGTACGCTGGTTTCTTGATTTATATGACAGTCAAAGCATTTCACAAAACAGCAGATTTCAAAGACAACATTCTACACTTCA